CAGGTAAAACGGTTGAAACAAACATAAATTAAAATTGAACGGCCAATCTGAAAATAACAAAAAAAAGGGGGGGTTTCATTTAAAAAACCAGAGTTAGTAACTACCACACGTTTATGATGCACCCTGTATATTGGAAAGTAATTTTAAAATATGGACCTTTTAAACGTGAAAAACTTTCGTTGGACGAATTTTCTTGTAAACTTCATATTTACTGAGATATCGCACTTTGACGCACTAATGAGCAACCCTGTATATAAATAATCTTTATTTCCTACAGAAAAAGACTATCGACCCAATCGGTCTTTCTGCCCGAAAATTAAATATTTAAATAAAAAACCACTATTGACCAATAGGCACTTACCCATGATGCATGGTGTGCGGTATAAAGCGCAAGAACGTTTTCGTTCTTCTCCAAAACACTACTATAAAGGGAAGCAATGAAATCATCTGAAAATGTATTTATAATAAACGTCCGGATTAGTACATCAATCAAAATCCAGTCAGCTTCAAAGCTTTAGTGTTAAGACAACTTTGGTAAAATATTATTCCGATTTATTTTTTGAACATTCAAGGCTACTGATTATATTTACTAGCATAATCTATACTTGAAGTTAATGTGGACTCAATGAATCCAGTAGGTACTAAATGTAAAATTTTGAAAATCAACTAAATACTTGCAAATTATTATTTTTTTAGCAAAAACTTTAAGGAGCTGATAACAGAACATAAATGGGATTTCATGCCTTCTCAGTTTGCCATATATTCAGTAAATAGATCCTATACAAAATACATCAATAATATTTGATTGGGAAATTTAATTTTCTGGCCACTACACGTAATGTGAAATTCTGATGTAATTGACTTAGAATGAAGCAAGATTGCTGCTGCTGAAGTAGCATGAAAGTCGAAGTAGTCTATGAACATACCGTGTCTTTTAAGCATATCAAATCGCCTTTCGTTCTCATCAGCATCATTTAAATCGATGATCACAATTTTTGAATCTGGGATTTCGAAGTTTTCTCTCAGTCTTTCAATAGAGATTTCAGCCACATCGTCTGATGCAAGTTGGATGGCTTTAACTGGATTTTGTACATATGAAAGATAAGTCACTTTCGAAGTTTTTCGCAGCTTGGAGAGATTAGGGAATGCTAGATCTCCCGATCTGTCGCGTTGTCCGAAATCTTCAGGACTCAACTAAAACATTATAGAGTAGATATGACTTCCTTATGCAGCTGAGTAAGTTACCGAATGCTCTGCAAAAACAATTATTCGTGAATTGGCCCTCAATTTGTTCGCTACTTCATCTTTAAAGGAACTTTGACTGATTTTGTGCAAGGCTGGAACTGGTTCACCAGCACTGAAACATCATATGACCATAGTTACACCCAAAGATATACATTAAGCAAATAGAGTATAACATCAAACTGAATTTGCTCTACTGGAGAGTTGAATAAATACGTCGATTTGATGGAATAGAGTATGTAACAAGCTCTACATGTCCAACTACAGATAATGAAACTTACCTGCGGGTACCCCAGATATACACAGGCACAAACTCAGCTGCACAGACACTGAGCAAAAATGCACAACTGACAACCAACACTAAGTTCCTCTGCAGGCCCATTTTCTCAGAAACAACTTGTTAATTTGTTTGCAGAACCACTTTTCCCAGATCACGTGAAACTAATGAAATTGAATTCTACTGAAGTCGACTCGTACCTATGACTCGTACTCAACTTCAAGATTTGACAAAAGTCAGGTGAATTGGGCGATATCAACGTCACCCCACTATCACGATTAAAAACAAACCGTTTTCGCTCCATCTAGCGCTAGAACATAGAAATCTTCCAAAACATATCGACATTTATATACAGGGTGTGGTGTTGAAATGGGACAGAAATGAAAGGAAATAACTCAACATAATTTGGGAAAACGTTAACGTAATCAAGGAATAATAGATGCTAAGTAATTTGGAAGACATGTAGTTTGGTAATTATTTACATCGCGATCTGATACTAGGACTGCCGCTTTAGCGATTGAGACTATGCTCACCTTATAGAAAATCTCATGACAAACAAAATTTTTCCCGTAGATTTTTCGAGAAACTGTCGTTTTCCACCACTTTTCACCCTCTGAAATTCACCAATTTCCAAAACAAAACAAAGGACGCCATGATGGTTCCGCTCTTTGCGCCGACGTGCTAGTCCAAATTGCGCGTAGTTGCCAGTACCACTTCCTTAACCACCCACGCGTTCAGTTTCGCAGAAGCAGAAACAAATTGAAAATACCCAGATAATATATTTTCACCACTTTTCCCATTCTCATCATAATTCCAATTAACCGATTAAGACGTCACAAATAAAACCTTACAGAAACGTTTCAAACTTGCAGTTATATTGCACAAATATAACATATCATGGAAACATTTCAAAAATCTTTTAGATACGTCTTTGGCGCATACGAGATTCATGGTTCTACCGCCTCCTATCGCGCATGACATTTATTATCTTATAAAACATAACCACTATCGTCTATCCAAACAATGCATTATTTGGGAGGTTGTATTAGGCTTGTTCGGTCCACAGAACACCTCTGTTTGTTACTTTATTCTAAATAAATGCTTATCACGATGTATATTCTATTGTAATGTTTTATTTTAATTTAGCTACCTTACAAAATGTAACAACTTTTTGAAATTTTTAAATAAAATAATTTATAATTTGAAAACGGTTGATTTCACAGCTTCTACAACAAATTTTTAGATACCATGTTTTTAAGCAAAATTTTACTAAAATGCCGATGATCTACCAACGTCGCAAGTAAGAAAAAAGCAATTTACGGTGCATATGCAGCGTTTGAAGCTGCTTTCCATGAGCTAATGAAAAAAGGTAATTCTATTTAAAAAAATACACTTTGATCTTGCCTCGGTTTTCTGCCACACTCTGTATGATATAAGATATTTTTAAAATGTGCGCACTTTGTGCGTCAACAACTTTTATATGAAACTATTTTTCGAAAGTTCAACCCCAACGTAAATAATGGACTTTATCGCACTAAAAAACCACCCTGTATATACGTATTCTTGTTTAATTATAATTTGTTTTATGAAGAAATAAAATTGTTGGCCTTGTATAACATTATTCCTCATTGGACCGATTCTGAAATTCTATAGAGCTCAGATTTAAGGTAAACTGGGCCTAATCCTTTTTTCAGCCACCAAAAATCGTTCACTACATTATTTCTTCCCCAACCTTCATCACAATCGCATAATCTTTTCACCGCGATAAGAATGGTCAAATTCTTTTTGTTTGGATTTTACACCAAAATTTTAACTGTGATAAAAAACAAAACGCCTTTGCTTGAGAACAACTTGGAAACGCACACCGATGTCCGAAACAGATTCAAAGGTTTACGGCAAAATATTTGCACGTAACACATTACAACACATTGTTAACAAAAATTAAACACACAAAAAATAAATAAAATATTCAACATGCATATTGTTAATAAATTTATTAATACTAATTTCATGAACTAAATACTTTTCTTTCTTTTAAATAAAAATATAGAGTAAAGTAGCCGATTGCGGAATACTGCTTCGTTTTTTGAAAAAGTCAAAATAAAAACGTTAACATTATTATACGCACTGTGGAATATACAGGGTGGCTTTTAGTGCGAGAAAGTCTATTATTTCCGTTGATGTTGAGCTTTCGAAAAATAGTTTCATATAAAATTTGTTGACGCACAAAGTGCGCACATTTTAAAAATACCTTATATGATACAGAGTGCCTTAAAAAGCGAGGCAAGATCAAAGTGTATTTTTTTAAATAGAACTACTTATTTGTTATCAGCTCATGGAATGCAGATTGAAACGCTGTATATGCACCGTAAATTGTTTTTCTCTTACTTGCGACGTTGGCAGATTATCGCGATTTTAGTAAAAGTTTGCTTAAAAACATGGTATCTAAAAATTCATTGTAGAAGCAAAAAAAAGCAGTTTTTTTACAATTTGATAGACAATTTACAACGTTGCAATTTTGCATTTACACTTTATGTGCTGTGAAATCAACCGATTTCAAATTATAATTTATTTAATTTAAAAATTTCCATAAGTTGCTACATTTTGTGTATTTTTGGCTATGGAAGTCAATAAATAAGTGTTGCAGTTATAAGTAAGATAATAATACATTCTGAAAAAATTTTTCAAATGAACTACTGCTTATTTAGCAAGCAGTTCGAAGTGGCTTTCTGCTATTTGCATACTATTTGGGGGTGTTAAATTTTCGCTTAACATTTGATAAAGAGGCATTTAGAACACTTGAGGTTCAATTTACTAATTTAACAATATTATTTGATCTAATAATATGCCGGTTCGACATAATTTAACCGAACAGAACTGTGCCTTTGTTTTACAGTGCTTCAAATGTTACTTACTTAGATTGTAGTGAGTGTGTGTTATACTACTGTAAGAAGCGCCCCTTTTCTAAAATATCACCGCACGCCCCTGCTCTGTACATATCTGGTAAATATTAGAAATACATTCCCACACAGATGGCGCGATTCGTTCGGCCCCAATACCAGCTCTCTTTGTTCAAATCCATGCAACCGAAAGAGACATACCTGATGGGAATGGCAGCCAACATAACAAATCGTAAAACACCAAGGCAAATGAGTCAATATTGGGAAAATCTCAGCCATGGCCACAGCTAACCGACGTTTACGGACGGGTGGAGTCTCTTCATGTTGTTTTTAGCAACAAGTGTCAATATAGCCTAGTTTTTAACAAATATAATGGGTTGTGCTGTGAGTACAACGGGGGATAAAGCCGCCCAGGCACGGTCAAAGAAAATTGATCGCGACCTAAGGGCAGATGGAGAAAGAGCCGCTGGTGAAGTCAAACTTCTTCTACTAGGTACCCATTGAATACTGTGTGTGGTGTTGTGTTTATATCTTACTGGGCTGACTTAATAGGGGCTGGAGAATCCGGCAAAAGTACCATAGCGAAGCAGATGAAGATTATCCATGAATTAGGTTATTCCAAGGAAGAGTGCGAGCAGTATCGGCCAGTTGTTTACAGCAATACAATTCAGAGTCTCATGGCCATTATCAGAGCTATGGGGCAGTTAGGAATTGATTTTGCTGAACCCAGTAAAACCGTAAGTTGTGCTTTTATTCATGTAAATTCTGCTGATACTCAAGGGAGGCCTACGCTGCTGCATATCTCTGTCTGTACATTGATATATTCTGTATTGAATACATTGTGCAAATATGGCATGCATAATGCAAAATTTGATGTCCTTAACAAAATTGATGACAAACCGCAATTCAATCAATATATATATATTCAGTACATGAAATATCACTATTAAGTCCATCCTGTTTACATGCTAACCAGCATGACATTGCAAGAGACATTCGTAGAAATTGCTCTCGATTCATTGTTTAATTGCAACTACAATCTCTAATTAAAATACTTGAAGAGCAATTCTCAAACGATCTGGCGAATAATTGTGGCGTGGGAATTTGTCATAAACAGAACTTAAGCCGAAGAACGATTAATATAGAATTATCTCTGTAATCCGAATCAATAATTGCAAGAGCAAAATGGTATTAACGAAATTTAAATCTTGAATTAAACTGTAATCAAAATTTCTTTATTTTTAGTGCTTAATTTTATTTGCTAATTGGAAAATTTCTTACGTAAAGGATATGCATACATTAAAAGAATAACTGTGTACATCAATGGATTAATTTTTGTACGTTCAAATCATGTGTGAATCTAGGTTGGTGGAAAAAGTTGTTGTTTAGTATTTTTTTGCTCTGCCTTAAAAGCTCGTTTTCTCGTTTCTGTTAAAGTTGCCTCCCTGTGAGAAGTACGTTGATGCTTTTTTTTTGTTTTCGTCCGTTTCGTCAGAGCTAGAGCGAAGTTCATCTTAAACATGTTCCAAAATATCCATAACCCAATTAATTATTAATTAATTAACTTCGTGCTTTCTGAAATCCCTGCCGATTTGGTTTAACAATCCAGTAGCATCCGTTACTTTTGTCTACGCCTTGTAATGCTTCTCTATGTTTCCACGCAGGCAATGAAAGAAGGTCTTCCTCATCGTCAACCGCCAACTTGTTGCTCAATGAGTTTATTCTATGACTTCGTATAAGTTTGTTTTCCCAAGCCTTAGCCAGTTCAATCACAACATCTTTTAGATTAATTTTCTAAAATTCTGTATATCTCCCCACTTTCAGAATCGAAAATCCGTTTTAAGAGACATTTTTGTAATGCAACTTAACCGCTTGAATCACATTTTGTTCCATGGGTTGCACTAAAGGCGCAACAGGTGGCAAAAACATTGCAACAATTTGTTTGTCATCTGAAAACAAGGCTTCTGGGTCCCCTGGCCCATTGTCTAAAATTGGAAGAGTCTTTGCATGTAAATTTATCTCGTATTTTTTGCGAACTGCAGGAACAAAATCTGTGTAGAACCATTTTCAAAAAAAACATCTTTGGATGTCTTCTGTCCTTGGTAAGTCGGTAACTATTCATTTCCGAAAGAAGGCGGCTTTATAGATTTGCCTAACACTAACAATGTCATTTTATGAGTCCCAGAGGCGTTTGAACAAGGCATAAATGTAATACTCTCCTTGCTCATGTTCCTACTTGGGGGTGATGCCTCAGATTGACCAGCAAGTGTCTTGAGGGAGTAATTTCTGCTACTGTCAACTGCATTTTCCGGACTTAGTCTCGAAGCAGTACTTTGAATGGCCTACGGCTCCCTCGTCACTGGATAATTTAGCGCCTCTGATGAATAGTTGTCCAATCCCCTATCGGTTTTTAAATTTATCAAGCCATCCAGCACTCGCATCAACATTTCTGTTTTTTCCTTAAAATGTTTCCTGACTTTGAAGGACAAACATTTCGGAGGTGGGGATCTGTCTCGACTCGCACTGTTCGGACTATAACGGAAGATTCCGGACGTTCTGATTTAAAGGGTTTTACTGTATATTTAATACCGTTACAAATTTTGCAAATTTATTTCAATTTATTTAACAAAACAAATTACATAGTAATCCTAAAGAGAGAGGCAAGCTATCTGTACATAGGCTGGCTGCTCTAAAAACTAACATACATTGATAGAAAATTTTAAGGGATTTCATATTTATAGAACAATCTAGCCAATTGATCCTCAGCTTACGCCAATAAATATGACTTTTAGTGTTTTTTATATTTTCTTTTTATGATTCAGCACTTTTAGGTCATTAGATATACTATTGAATGTTTTAACTTATTGGGTATTTTTATATCTAAATAGCGTTATCGATATAGCGAAAACTTTCCGTTGCGGCTCACAGCGGAAGATAATATGCATGTACTTAAATATTCAAGTAAATTATGCTTTATTAATTACAATTATAATCTTTTCCAATGCAAACAAAGAATGATATTGCTGTGCATTTTTATTGACGCATGGAGTTTTGAAAACAGCAGTTGCATTTATGCGATGAAATAGTCGAGTTCTTGAGCAGAAACTAAGTAATCCTGGATTGCTACTTCAGAACTTAATCTACTACAGTTCACCCCCAAATCAAAAATATATACAGAGTGCTTCAGATTTAATCTCGATAACTTCAGGAATCGACAGAACCCGTTAAACTAATGTTCAATTATGATATGAACGGATTTCCTATCCCACTGGACTAAGAGGGCTGCCCATTGCTACTCCATCCGTCTGCTCAAAGAATTCGCTGTTCCACTGAAAGTAGGTTGTGGTTAGACAGTGTTCGAAGAGTTTGGCTATGTCTGGTGGAAATTCTCTCGCAACAAGTTCCATTGCCTCCCTGATTGGTACCATTGTTCACATTGTAGCAATGGGCAGCCCTCTTAGTCCAGTGATAGCCAACTATTTTATGGAAAAATTTGAAAAGAACGCTCTGGACACAGCCGTGAGAAAACCTAAGTGCTGGTTCCGCTATGTGGATGACACTTTTGTTGTTTGGGGCCATGGTCTGACTGAACTGGAAGACTTCCTGAGGCACCTCAACTCAATAAACCCTAAAATTCAATTCACTATGGAAGTGGAGAAGGATGGGCGACTGCCCTTTTTTGGATGTCTTGGTGACCAGAAAAGCCAACGGAAAGCTGGCCCACACAGTGTACAGGAAGCCGACACATACCGACCGGTACCTGCACAGTGGTTCAAACC